CATTGGCATTCTCTGTGCTTGAAATTTTTTTTTTTCTTGCTTATCCAAATAAATAGTTCGATCCGTGACTCAAAAAAACACAATATAATGCGTTGAACCACTATATAATGCTATTACGATACTATATAATAACCTAATATATATATATATATATATATTGTATATATATCCCCCTCCCCTCCCCCCCGTCCAGCCGGTCCGTGAAAATATTTTCCAAACGTAACCGGGCCGTGGTGTAAAAAAGGTTGGAGACCGCTGCTTTATGGGACTACACCATGGTACAGTAACAGTGACTTCTCTGATTGGTGGATCTCACTCAAGGATTGTGGGTAGTGTAGTTTTTCCATCAAATATATATATTTTTTAATTAAACATGATACTGCCACTGTATAAATCTCTGATCCAATGGCAAGTCTTTCTTAAAGTTTTTTGGCAAATGGTTATATGTAAGAATAATTTAGAAAACTAATATGATTTAACTTCCCTAATAGTCCTGTATGGCTCAGGCACTCTTCTCTACTCTACACTACTCTGCACTGTAAAGCATGAGGCCCCTGAAAGGGAAACTTACTCTGTATTATACAGAATCACATGAACACATATCAGCCACATAAATAGACTGAGAATAAAAATCACATCTTTACAAGTGAGGCGAAAATGTTACTTTTTTTCAGACAGAAGAAAAAAAAAAGTTTAGATTATGTTGATTCTTTTAGTATAGAAGTACGGGGTGAAGGTTTCGTTCAGTTAAACTCTGACTAAAGAGCACTCTTTGTTTATCTTGAGCCAACTGGCAAAAAAATCTGAGAGCATGTCAAAACAAAACCTGTCAGATTTTGCTGAAATGAGGTGTAGAACAAAAAAAATTCACAGCAGCCCCAACACACTCACAGACACATTTGGTTTTCATGCTTTATGGGGATTTTCCATAGATATAATGATTTTTATACTGTGCAAACTATATATTACCCAGATCTACTTCTAATCCTAACCCTCACAGTAAACATATACACATCCTATACCGGTCTCCTCTTTTGAGGTCAGGGGACAGCAGTGTGTTGAAACAGTGTCCGTCTGCTCTGGAAAGTGACTGCATGTGTGAGTGATTATTTCAAGCTTGTATTTTTCAACAGTAGTGACCAAATCATGCTGCCCTTCCAGTCTCCTTCACCATTAAAGCCTCTGTTCCACTGAGAACATTAGCAGAAGATCTATTACAGACACCTGACGAAATACACTGGTTTACAGACGTGTGTATTCTGTTATTAACTCATTTCAAATTACCTATATGCATGTACAGTGGAGAACAATTTGTAAATGCTCAATTTTATTGAAATAAAATATATTATCAAAATAATTTCAGTAAAAAAATAGAATTTTATATATATATATATATATATATATATATAATAACGTGTGTGTATATATATATATATATATATATATATATTCATAATATAATTTGTTTACATAAGTAAATAACTGGCCATGTATTCAGTCTTTCATTTTAATTGTTGGTTTTGTACGGACACCTCTTGCCATTACATCACATCCTGTTGTTTTTAGGGTCTTGTGCAATGATTGACACATTTAAGGTTTTTTTTTAAGATTTAAAAATTATATCATCATTATAGTAACAGAGTGAAAAGTTAAATTGTGAGAAAATTAACATGAATTTAATGAGAGCAGCACTAGAGCTGATGATCATGATTTGAGAATGATCCAAAGAGCATCTTGTGCTTCAATGGAAGCATGAAAATCTGACCTTCTACACAAAGTAGGCAACATAGACAATGCTTCAAATGCTTGTTTTATTTTTAAAATATTGCCCAAAACATGCATTGTTCTTTGGCATTTTGTGTCTTTTTTTCTTTTTCTTTTTTGTTTTAAACAGTAAATAAGTAGTAGTTTAAATTTAAGGTTTTAATTTAGATTTTGAATCACTGACTTTCAAATCCCACTTTATGTGTGCATGTTGGCAAATCTTTAAAATGAAAATAAAATAAAAATAAAAACTACACTGACTGTCTAAAATAAAAAATACACAAAGAAAATGACTGAAACTTTCTAACCCAGTTAAAATGACTCATAAATCATAAAAACTTGAAGGCATTTAAACAAAAAATAAATAAGTTCAAAGGGTGTTTTTTAGTCTTTTTTGATACGAGGCAGTACAACCTGCCAACTTACAAACTCACAGTTAAATGAACCCTAAAGACAAACAACTTAGCCTTAACCCAGAAGCACATAAGTTCATCTACACAAAATCTCTGCCTACAGTTGGACACCGCTAAAATGTCTGATAGTGAGCAAAAGTTCAGTGAGCGTGAATAACAGCAGTACTCACTCATGGTGCTGCAGCCACGGGCTCTCTGTTCACTCGCCCAAACTTACATTTTCCACTTCTTCAGGATCAGACACGGTGTCGACAGAACGAGTTATGGGAGGAAGAGAGGGAGAGTAATAAAACGAGGGAGGAGGCAGTGAGCAAACGCGGACACAGCCCAGCCATGTCTGGCATGCTGATGACACCAGTCACATGGCCCCTCACTAAACATAGACTGAATTTCTCTCAGGCCAGTCGGCTTCGGTGCTCATTCATTGTTCCTGTCCTCCTGAACCTGGATCAGCTTTTTCTTTTTATTAAAAAACATATGCGACTTACAGTACTTCATGCAAAACGGGCTGCGGATCAGGGGTTTTTGGGGGCGTGTGTTAGGCAGGAAGTTAGACAGCCTCAGGGGAACTGGCTCAGAGATAAGTCTAGTAGTTTAACAGCTGTTGAGTATGTCAGTGAGCAAAAGAGGGAAAGAAAGAGAAGCAACACAACTATCTCGACAATGGTACACTCTTAAAAATAAAGGTGCTTAAAGGGTTAGTTCACCCAAAAATGAAAGTCTCCTCTTGGCTTATATCGAAATCCTCCGACATTCTTCTTTACAAATCCTCGTTTTGTACTTCTAATAAGTGACCGTTGTTTTGTTTTGATCTCTCCGTTGCACTTCCGCGTTCGTCATTTCTGAGCGGCGCATGCGCAACACCGACCGTTTACAACAGTGAGCACAAGCTACATTAAAGTGATTATTACATTTTCAATATGGATATGTTTCTTACAAAAATGCATCGATTCGCTACAGAAAGCCTTTGTTCACCCCCCGGAGCCGTGTGAGACACTTTTTTTTTTATGGATGGCCGCTTTTTATTTAACTTGTTTTGGACTGAAGCATGCAACACCCGCTGAGTGCCATGAAACAGCTTGAAAGATCAAAGACAATTTTTAATA